ATGTTTACATCCGGTTTTAGAATTGCATTATTGATCATGAGTAACGTGAGTAATAATATTACTCGAGTGATGCCCAACTCTGGCCGTTGCGAGAGACAAATATTTGAATTATGCAATTTTTTGTCTCTGTCGATGCGTGTCACCCAAAATGAGTTCGCATGTCACCTCTGACACGCGTGTCATAGGTTCACCATCACTGGTTTAGGTAGTCATTCAACTTCAGAAATTTTATGTGCTCTTTATACCACTTTAAATGTAATATTATGGATTATGTAAATGCTACAAGATTTAACAAAAACTAAATATTTTAAATTATTAGTTTTTAAAGATTAATAATGTAATAAAAGATTCATGACATTTGCGATGATGTTAAAAACTTTATTCTTCAGAACGTTCGGCATATACTTTGCGATGAGTAAAAATCACTTTTTTCTTGTTTGGGATGTTTTCTTCTTCTAGATCTAAACCAGACTCCTCGGAACACACTGCCACAATTATTTCTTAAAGTGGGGGAACCCTTGTGGCTCAGGTGCAAAGCTGTTCATGTAAACCATGGATTTGGGCTCACCTGGGAGTTAGAAAATCAAGCACTGGAGGAGGTAATATGCCGCGTTTGCATTCTGAAAATGCTGAAGCAGCCGACTGATAGTCCAGGTTAAAATCATTAAATCCATTTTGTTTTATTAAAACCTAGGGCAACTACTTTGAGATGAGTACCTATTCCACAAACAGAACTATGATACGGATTCTGTTTGCTTTTGTATCATCAGTAGGAAGAAACGACACTGGATATTACACTTGTTCCTCTTCCAAGCATCCCAGTCAGTCAGCTTTGGTTACCATCGTAGGTAATGCAGGCTGCGCATGCAACCTTTATTCATATTTTTAGTTGCTTTGGTGTGGACTGTGAGGTATGTGCTGTGAATTCTGATTTCAATATAATGTTAGTGTCAAAAGCTGAGAAAGACACTGAGTCAGAATAGCTTTGCAAACATAAGCTTCCTTTTCCAGTCAAGCCCGATTGAATGTCACTGCCTTCGTAATTGCCTCGTTGTACTATGACCATCTGTTTGTGGAATTTTGTTTTCCAGTAGAAGTTCCTTAAGGACAGGAGTAATTCCTCCTATCCTTGTAGTCCCAGGACTGGAAGAGAGCCTGACACAAAACAGGCAGTTGATAAATGCTTGTTCTAAGAACTGAGAGGGCAGTGAACAATGAGGGATCTGGACAAGCACCTACCTGCGTTGAAATTTGGGTGAAAGATGGAGGATTTGAAAATAATCATGCTTTTTAAGTAATTTCAGATTAGGTGGCAGCCTTCAACTGTAACGAACAGGCTAAGAAATGAAATGATTCTCTCATCCCACTGATAAGGAAGTATTCTACGGGGAAGCCTTGTGAATATTGGTGGCTAGACTGTTCTTTCACTTGTGCCCTGCGGTTACTTTTTGTAGTATGTGTCACTGAGAGAGCAGTCTGACTGAGGACCCCTACTCTGTACATGGTTGGATGGGCTGGGGGAGCCCTTGTCTGCAAAAATCTATAGGTTTATTAAAACATTTGGGGAGGAAGAGACTCAATTATTTACATTCAATTCTTAGAGGAATCTTAATTCTGAAAGGGGATGAACTCAGGCTTATAACTGGATAGGTCTCCTGTATTTCTTAGACTAGCGAATCTAACCTGCAGCATGAATTTTCTTGCATTAAACTGATGAATAAAAATGTATTTATCTTCTCCATATATTTCCATAAATGTTTGGTGGTGTTTTTTTTTTTACAGAAAAGGGATTTATACACGCTTCCAAAACAAATGAAGAGTATGAAATTGACCAGTATGAAGAGTTCTGTTTTTCTGTCAGGTTTAAAGCATACCCACAAATCAGATGTACGTGGACCTTCTCTAGAAAATCATTTCCTTGTGAACAAAGTGGCCTTGATGATGGGTACAGGTGAGATGACACAGCTCCAGGTCTCGGCATCATCTTCACACAACTCTTTTGTTGCCCCAGCAGAAGAGTGGTTTTGTGTCATGAATTGGTATATTATTGAGTTGACACTGAAGACAGCACATGTGCAGACACAGTAACAGAGAGTTTTATAGTCAGTTCAGATAGTGTAACCCACTGCATGAAAAATGGAACGATTCTGGCTGGTGGGGTTCAGTGGTTGAGCATCGACCCATGCACCAAGAGGTTGCCAGTTCGATTCCTGGTCAGGGCACATGCCCAGGTTGCAGGCCAATCCACAGTGGGAAGTATGCAGGAGGCAGCCAATTGATGATGTTTTCTCTCATCATTGAGGTTTCTATCTCTCTCTCTCCCTCTCCTTTCCTCCTTTCTCTCTAAAATCAATAAAAACATTTTTTTAAAAGAAAAATGGAAAGAATCCTATTTGCGCAAGGTTCCGTGGCATTTTCTGAGTCACCAGATTGTTACTTCCTATTTGAGAATGCATGCTGCAGTGAGCACACCAACGCTCCCTCCACACATTTGCAGAGGATTGAGGAAGTAAAGCCCTTCAAAACAGGAAAACATTACCTATCACTGTATTGGTTTGTCTTAAAAAAAAAATTGGTGCAGAAATTGCCCAATAATCAATGCTAAAGGATGTGTACAACTGTACTTGGGGTTCTCTTATGGGAGAAATTCTTCATTCCTTTTTTGGAAAACAAAGATTTTTTTTTCCTTTGTCTTTTCTATAACGATGACACCTTTTATCTCTTGAGAGGAATCCTATGCAACTTGGTTTCAGACTAGACTGTGACTGAGAGGCACTCTGTTCTGAGGTCTGTGCCCTGACTGATGAACAGTCCCCTAACTCAGGGCTTCTCAACAGCAGTGCTGTTGACATCTTAGGCTGGTAATAATTATTCTGGGGGCCTCCCCTGTGCATTGTAGGGTGTTTAACAGCATCCCTGGCCTCCACCCACTGGATGTCAGGAGCACCCCCACCCCCAATTGTGACAACCAAAATTATCTCCAGACATTGCCACACATCCCTAGTGAGGAAAACACTGCCTGGGTTGAGAAACACTGCCTTAGAGGGATCACCTCATTGTCGTAAGCCCTTATCCTGAATCATCAAACATGAAAGTAGGAGGTCGGGAGTCAGCCCCCCTCCTAGTTGAATTGACTACCACAGGCCTGTGTTCAAAGGCTCTCAGAGCTTTAACTCTCCCCTCCCTCTGGGTTGTGGCCCAGTGTCAGGAGCACTTGACACTATGGGATTCTCTTTTAACCCAATTCAAAGAGATAAAAATACCAGTTCAATTTAGTTCAATGAATATTTCCTTATTATCCTCTTGATGGGCTTGATTCTATGTGGGGCTGCAAGGGTGAATAAGGTAATGTTTCTCTCCCCCTCCCCCTCAGTTTTACACAGGCACTTTTAAGTGCCAGAGGCCACCTGGGAGATCACTGCTACTGTGCTGGAGGACATCAGGTACAACCTCTTAAGATTTTACAGATTCATTGATTAGAGGACCATGTTTCTGATATATGGGTCATGGGCCAATTAGTAGGCTAGTTAATTTGATTTCATTCCATGATCACAGACTGCATTCCTGACCCCAAGAAATTATCTTATAACTACCCAGCCAAGTGAATGAATTAGCGCTGGTCCTGATTCCCATAGTGTTTTGTACCTCTTATTTGTCATGACCTGGTGATGTAGTGAAGCTCTCTGTGTATTGAATCTCACCAGTGAGTATATAAGCTCCATAAGGGATAGGTTCTCTGTCATTTCTCTATCCTTATATAATGCCTCCTTCAGTCAAGGGGGGTTTAATAAATGAATGAATTGTTGTCACCCCTGGAAAGCAACTCAAAGTGCATAACCTGGGCCAAAGATGTATCAGTGCATCCTTTTTGCATGGCAAGGACCACATACATGCACTTACCACAACAGTGTTCAATTTATTTTAAAAAGTTATTGAAGAACTTTAGTGTTTGTTGGTGATAATGATGCACCAGGGATGATGGGCTACTTAATACAATACATAGGGAAGATGGCGCCTCCTTCTTCCTGAAAAAGGTGGTCAAAATATTGCATAAAAAATGAACAACAAAAATGTCAGTACTAGTGCTCTGATGTCTTTTGCTGTTCACATGAGTCTCTGTTTTGAGATAAGCCATGAGATAAGACTAAATTGTAATGAGTTCTTTTCCACTTTTTATCATAAAATGTTTCAAATTTGCCAGTAAACTCAAAGAATAGTACAGTAAGCATCCTTTTCCCACCACCTAGATTCAACAGTTTAGTCAAACTGAATTTTGTTGTGAAGTACAGTATTTAGTGTTGTAAGAGATGATACAAGTGTTTATATGTAACTGAAAGGTTTATGTAAAAACTTCACTCCTGAAAAAGCTTTGATGTGGTCATAGTGTGTGTGCCAGAAGTCTCTCAGCTTCCCTACCTTCACAGCTTCGTTTCTCCAATTTACTTCCTCAAATATTACCCCGCGGCTGATTAGGGCTTGCCTGGATGTGTTTACACTTTACTAAACTGTAACTTTCCAGCGGTCCTGATAGCCTGGTCTTGAGAAAAGGTTCTAGGACATTTCATCTGTTTGTTTGCATAATTTCTTATCCCTATAGACTGAATTATAAACAAATCTACCTTAGCTGTTCTTACTTTCATGATTAAAAAAACCAACAACCCCAAATTATTAGAATTTTACAATTATTTAATAAATTCCTCTGAAAGACTCTTCTTAGACCTCTGCAGAAACTTCCGTCGGAGGAAGACAGGATCGCCCACTTCCTGACCCATGTCTTTCTGCGCTGGTCAAGCCACCTCAGTGCTGCCACCTCAGTCCTGCCAGCTCTCGGCTCTCCAGTTTCAGGAGTGCTCGGCCTCCCTAGTGCCCATTTTATTATTCTCTGCATTCTGATTTGACTTTGATAATCTCTTGTTCTTTGAGTAAAACACTTTTTACTTTATTGTCAAATGACTCCCTGAGCCACTAGAAAGAGCCTGCCCTTTCTCAACTCCCTCAAGGTGCTAAATGGAAAATAAAAATGACCTGCATGTTGGCTGTACAGAGGGGAAAACCCTTTTCATAGCCGTAATGAGAATACCTCTCCTTAGTCACCAAGATATGATGTCAGTGTAAATTCCAATTCACTCAACTCCCGTCTCAGGCCAGCTGACCATTTTAGAAAAACACCAGGGGAAAGAGGAAGCCGTGAATCTCTCCGTCACCTAATCGGTTAGTCCCTTTGGAATTTCCAGGAAGGTTCAGTGACGCAGCTGTTTCTATTGCTAGGATTGGCTGTCTTAAATAGGAGGACAGGCAGCTTGAAATGACCTGGATATTCAGGCTGTTTAGATCACTTTCCTACCTGGAAGCGTGAGAACATTTGAGATGATATTTGCTTGACACCATGGCCAGTGATACTCAATAAAGGCAGCACAAAAGCCTTAGGAGGGAAAGAGTTCACAAAACATTTTGCTGTGGGCAGCATGACAATCAATAGTTGTGTCGGTAATTTCTTTTTCTATCACATTGATGGGTGCTTTTGGCATGGTCCCTGGCTAACCACATGGCTTCTTTTTTTCTTTTTTTTAAATCTCTTCTTATTCCTTTTCAGGGCCTTTGGCTATTGTCCAGTGAGAATTACATTTCCCCTTATAGAGGCTCACATCTTTCTCTTCTTGGACCACATAAACTCTGTCTCCCTAAAGGCTGGAAATCACATATTTACTTTTCTCCCTGGTGTTATAGTTTGGCTTTTTCTCCAATCTTTCTACCACTTCCACTTCATCAGTCATGCCCTTCTTGTTGTCCAGAAGTAGGCCAGGATAAGAAATTCCCTTTTTACTTCTTTTAAAAATTTTATTGTTAAATTACAGTTGATATACAATATTATATTAGTTTCAGGTTTACATTAGTGATTCGACATTTATATGCCTTACGAAGGGATCACCACAATAAATCTAAGTACCCATCTGATACCATACATAGTTATTACATATCATTGATTCTATTTCTTGTGCTGTACTTTACATTCCTGTGATTTATTTTAGAACTAGTGATTTGTACTTCTTAATCTCCTTCCCCCTTTTCACCTGTCCTCCCACCCTCTTTTTTTAAAAATTGAATTTTAGAGAGTAGAAGGGAAAGGGAGAGAGAGAAAAACATTGTTGTTCCACTTACTTATGCATTCATTGGTTGGTTTTTGTACGTGCCCTGACTGGATATTGAAGCCTCTACCTTGGCATATCAGGATGACGCTCTAACCAACGAGCCACCGGCCAGGGCTATTCCTACTCCATTTTTACTTCTTCAGCCTTCTTGTTACCAAGGCAGACAAAAAAGTTGTTAAATGCTCATAGAGCAATGAATTCTATCATCGCTATACACGGTCAGCATTACCTTTTAGCTGCGGAGTTAAGGATGCACAACATTGAAGTCACGGGCTCATAGCTGCTCAAAAGTTGCTAACTGTGCAATTTGAATCTTGCATCAATTGGTGTTCTAGTCCCTCCTTCATCTCCATATCCAATCAAACACCTGCTTTCTCTTTTTTTCCGGGTGCATCTTGGATTTGCTCTTTCCTCTCCTTTCCCATTTTCCCTACCGTAGGCAACACTCATCTTTTCATGCTCTGTTCAGGTCTGAACTTTGACTTCTCTCCTAGGACTCCCCACATTATACTAGTACTGTAACTGCTTATTGACTTGCCTGCCTTCACCACCAAACTGCAAATTCTGTGAGAACAGAAATCTACTTTTTCTAACTCACTGTTGTATTTCTGATTCCTCCCACAAATAGGCTCTACCAATGATGGTAGAATGAATGAATAAATGCATGAATGAATGAATGAACGAATGAATGAATTCCTGGGTTACAACACTGCCTCCAGATTTCATTCCAATAAAATTTTCCTACTGCCATCAGTCTAAATTAAGGTACTGTTCCTGATAATCCTCCCCTGCTCAGGGTCCATAGCATCTTCTGCTTTCTCTATCAGATCTAAATAATTCAGCTGGGTTTTCAAAGTCCTTCATCACTGGCTTTCCCCTACCCATTTAGCCTTCTTTCACCCCCTCTTCCCTCACATTTCAACAAGCACCTCTGCTCAGTCCATTGGCCTCCCCATCACTCTCCTTTAATAAGGCCGTATGAATTCCCATCTTATCTCTAAGTCCTGCCCTTTCCTCCTCATTGGATGTCTGTGCTTCTGCCCTCTCGTTAAAACGAACTCATCTGGCCCTAGCTGGTTTGGCTCAGTGGATAGAGCTTCGGCCTGCGGACAAACGGGTCCCGGGTTCAATTCTGGTCAGGGGCAAGTACCTCGGTTGCAGGCTCCTGGCCCTGGTCAGGGGCATGCAGGAGGCAACCAATTGATGTGTCTCTCTCACTTCGGTGTTGCTCTCTGTCTCTCTCTTTCCCTTCCTCTCTCTCTAAAAATCAATGGAAAAAATATTCTCGGGTGAGGATTAAAAACAAACCAACAAAAAAACACCTAATTCATCTTTGAAGACCTAGCTCAAGTCCCACTTCTATAAAGCCATTGGAACTTGGCTCATCTATACTGTCCTCTGATCAGTTCATCTTCTCTTGGCCTTATTTTATTGTTTAATGTTATAACTATTCTGTTTATGTAGGTTTTGTCCATCTACCTGTATATGATATATTTGAGGACAAGAGCCATATTTTATATGTTTTTTTGCATCCTATATGTCTCCTAGTTTATGGCTGGCCTCCACTCTGGGTCTTCCTGTTTACATTTCTACCCTACCCATATGTAGTCTTTTAAAAAAAGACAAACAAAAACTTCAAGTAGTCCATATAGAGGAAGCCTCATTAAATAACTTCTGAGAAAGCCTTGGATTTTTTTAATCTAAGGGAAACTTTATTTCTGTGAACAAACCTTCATTTTATTAATTTTTAAAATCGATTTTAGGGAGAGGGGAAGGGAGAAAAAGAGAGAGAGAGAGAGAGAGAGAGAGAGACAGAGAGAGAGAAAGAGAGAGAGAAAGAGAGAAAGAGAAAGAGAAAGAGATAGAGATGTTGATTTGTTGTTCCACCTATTTATGCATTCATTGGTTGTTTCTTGTATGTGCCCTGACCAGAGATTGAACATGCCACCTTGATGTATACAGAAGATGCTCTAAGCAACTGAGCTACCCAGCCAGGGCCTGAACTTTCTTTTATCTTGTCAATGCATGAAGGCATATTCAACACTATCCCTACCTTTCCTATACTATCCTACATCCCACTACAATAGCCAGCATCCTATACACATGGTAGACATGGTGGATAACCTCCAAGATCAAGTTATCCATGTCAAAATGTGTTGAGTGGTTGATGAGCACTCCAAGTGGATACTAGAGCCTGCTGAGACTGCCCAAAGATTTCGTACAAACACAGTTGATGTGAGCCCTCATCACTGTTAATTACTACTTAAGTTCTTCATAGGTCTTGCTTTGGACCAATGCTAGAGAGCCATTCTTTTAGGAAGTAAGGGAGTTACAAGCTCCTCTACCTACAGAGGTTTTCCATATTTCTGGGAAGTTGGACTAGTCCAGAATGTGTGGAGCAGTAGGGTTGGGAACCTTCTTGTCTCTCTGAGGAGCCCAGTCTAGATCAATGTGTCTCAACTTTTAATTTGCATATGAACCACATTAAAATGCAGACTCTGAGTCAGTAGGTTCCTTTGGGGCCTGAGATTTTGTATTTCTAACAAGCTCCCAGGTAATACAGGTGCTGATGCTGCCTGTCCACGGACCCCACTGTGAGTAGCAATGGCCTAGTATACAGACACCTCCTTGTCCATTGAACGTTATAGAGTGAGTGTCTCAAGGGAGTTCCCTCCCATGCACACCATCATTCGTTTCAGCATATCTGTAACGAATTGGGCTAAGTCTATTTTTAATTCCTTTCCAAACAGCATATCTAAGTTTTGCAACCACAAACACCAGCCAGGAGAATACACCTTCCATGCAGAAAATGACGATGCCCAGTTCACAAAAATGTTCACGCTAAATATAAGAAGTAAGTTAAATTATTAAGAAATTTAATTTAAGTCTTATAATTCCTTAACTAATTATTAACTATGACCAGAAATAAGCTAAGTAATGGCTTAGAAACAATACTGTAAGACTTTTTATATACTGAAGTGTTTTGAAATTTTAGTTTCGTGCCTACTGGCTTCATTTATACATATTTCTCTTTCTGTGTTCATCCTTTGAAGCCAAGAGACTTATTCCATGTCTGTAAATGTGTTTAATGTTGTGACTATTGACTTTAGTACTTTGAAAGATCATGTTAAGGAAAGGCTGAAAGTCCTATTACCTGCCATTTCCTTGTTTTAATAATTTTTGTTTCTCTGATCTATGAAAAGATGGGAATACATTTTATTGGAATTTTTGCAGATGCTTCTGAAGCTAAGAATCATTTTGAGGTGTTCAGGTATTTAAAAGTATACACCTTAGCTCTCTATGGAGCCTAGCAATGGGGAAGTGGTGTTCTGCAGGTCAGCGTAGGGCTGCCTATGCAGAAGGTTACATGCCTGGGAAAGAGGGAACAAGCAGAGGTCTTGCGTCATTCTGCATGAGACACCTCCCAGAAGCACAAACTGCTCGGAGTAAATGGGCAGCCTATATGAAACTGACTTTGAAACCATTTGGAAAGTACTATACTACATGAGCCTATTTTTCATGTTATTCTCTACAGGGAAACCTCAAGTGCTGGCCAACGCAAATGCAAGTCAGGCCTCTTGTTCCTCAGATGGATATCCATTACCATCTTGGACCTGGAAGAAGTGTTCAGACAAGTCTCCCAAGTAATAAAGACTCTGGTATCTCTTACTTTGGAAGAACATGAAACACACTCTCCCTGACATATTGGCTCTTTTTCATGAATACAATTCAAGAAGAAATGGCTGTGTTTAAAATGCTTACCTTCTGAGTCCACCATAATTCTACATGGTCATAGATTATGTCTGATAACTTATGATAGAGGAATCTCTTTTTGAGCTCACTAGAGAAACCATGACTTCCAGTCTGAGGACAGCCCCACCTATCTAACCTACTTCTCTGTCTGCCGTTTCTTTTTAGCTGCACAGAAGAAATCACGGAAGGAATTTGGAATAGAAAGGCTAACAGAAAAGTATTTGGACAGTGGATATCGAGCAGTACACTGAACATGAGTGAGGCCATCAAAGGGTCCCTGGTGAAGTGCTGTGCGTACAATTCCCTGGGCACATCTTGTGAAACAATCCATTTAGGCTCACCAGGTACACAGCAGCCGCTATTGTAACAAACCACCTCCAGGAATTCCCCACTAGGAGTTAGTGCCAGTTCATTTTTATTGGGGGAATTTTTCAAGAACCTATAGGTTCAGCATGTGATGCAAGAAGGCTTTCTGAGTCAGGCAGGAATCCCCAGTGAACGCACACTGCTGTGTAGTTCAGGGGCAGAGTGACTGTTGTGTCAGGTTATTAAGACCAGGAGTGATGTAGGTAGAACCATAAATTCCCAGAACAGTGAATATCTCCTGAAAGACCCAATTTTAGAAAAATAGATTTAGTAATTTGGAGTGGCTACCATTTTCCCTTTTGCTTAATCTCCTTATCTGCCCTTAGCTTGCTGTTTTATAATTTTTAGTTTTGTTTTTTAAAGCCATCCTAAGTTAATCCTGAAATTCGGCTGCCTACACTTACCATGCAGAATCGCCAGCATCCTTTAACGAAGTTTTCCATATTCATACAATAGAATGTCTTCAGTATCTTTTTTTAATCTGACTTGTCTATCCTGTGGGTTTAAATAGATGTAATTCTTACAATCCTAAGAATGGGTTCAGGATCACGTACAATTTTCTAGGAAGGAAACTATTCCTTTATACTACCATCGCCTGATTTTCCATGGGGAGTGGAATATTTGCAGGAGCGTGTAAGCTAGCAAATCCTGGTAACTCAAGCACGATGCGTGAGATCACGATGAGCGTTCACTATCATGTCAATCAGGAATCCTAAACTCTTTTGTTGCAGGACCCTTCCCTTTCTTCCAGGACAACATCTCATTCTATGCCACCATTGGGCTCTGTGTCCCCTTCATTGCCGTTTTAACCATGCTCATTTGTCACAAGTACAAAAAGGTAAAAAATCCTACCCAAAACCCCCAAACTCAAAGGGAAACGTTTATCATGGTTTCCTAGTTCTGAAGACCTGCCTGTTACTAACAGACTCATTTCATCTCTGAAGCAATATAGGTATGAAAGCCAACTGCAGATGGTACAGGTGACTGGTTCTTTGGATAATGAGTACTTCTACATTGATTTCAGAGAATATGAATATGATCTCAAATGGGAGTTTCCAAGAGAAAATTTAGAATTTGGTAAGAATCAAATGTTCCAGATGTTTCCATAGCATTTCATTTATGTGGGAAAATCTTGAATTTGTACTCATTCACCATTTCTCTTGCAGGGAAGGTGCTAGGATCAGGTGCTTTTGGAAAAGTGATGAACGCAACAGCTTATGGAATTAGTAAAACAGAAGTCTCCATCCAGGTTGCTGTCAAAATGCTTAAAGGTACAGTGGAATGATAGCCACAGAGATGGGTGGTACAGGCTCCACCTCCTCTTCTCTTTCCCATCTTTTTTTGTGGGTACTGCTCGTCATTCTTCAAAGCTGAAAAGGAAGTGAGTCGGGGTTAATATCAACCAAATCATGAATATAAAATGCAAGCCAAAATCCAAAACTCCACCTCTTTTTCCTCTTCCTTGTTTAGTTTTTTTTTGGGGGGGGGGTGGGAAGGGTGGGAAAGCTTCGGTATTTGGGAATACTGTTGCTACAGGAATATGTCATTTCTGCCATTTTGACATAGACTCTGGGGAGAAGAGCAAAGTGGAGCGCTCTGTATCGTTTCTCACTCCTTACTCTATCCACTCGCATCTGGCTCACACCTTCACCCCTCCCCTTAGTCTTGCTCACTTGGCAAGATCCCTTGCCCACCCCCCTTGCTTTTGCTAAGGTGGTCAGTGACCTCCAATGAACTAAAGTCTAATGGGCGTTTTTCAGTCCTCGTGTGACTTGAATTTTTAATAAACAGGCAGGATTGACTCTTCTCCATCTTTAAATACCTTTTTCCTGTTGGTTTCCATGTCACCATTTTTTCTGGTTTCCTCCTACTTGCTGACTGCTTCACAGCCCTTTGCTGGCTGTCTTCTGCCCAGTTCTTTATGTGGTGTTCTGGAAGGCTCCCTCCTGAGTCCCCTTCCATTTTCCCTCCGCATGCTCACCACAGGCCGTCTCAACCACACCTGGGACTTTACCCTTACACCAGTGTTCTCATGGCTGCATCTTTCTTCTAAGCTTCAGGATCATGTGTCCAAATGCTTGGCTGTCTCAAAAGTCCCTTTATTTCAGCTCATCCAAACTGAACTCCTCCAACCCTTTCCACACCATTGGGCAAACCAGAAACCTAGGCCTCATCCTTGAAACTATCCCCATTCTAACACCCAGAAGCTATTCCCACCAGGTTTCTGCTTAGTGTCTTTCAACCCATCCTCTCTCTTATCTTTATCACCACCATCCTAGTCCAGCTTCATCTCTTCTGAATAACTGCCGTAGCTTTCCAAGCAGCTACACTATATGCACTCCTACTTCCTTTCAGATTCTCCATGCCGAAGTCCAAGTGATGGTTATGAAATGCAAAGCAGACCTTATCATTTTCCTACCTCACATTTCCAGTTGCTTTCAATTACTCTTGAAATACACTACAGAGCCCTGCATGGTTTGGCATCTGTTCACCGCTCCACCCTGAACTCTCGGCCTTCTTTCAGTTCCTCCAGAGCCCAGTGCCCCCTCCCATCCCAGAGCTTGCCCAGGCTGAGCCTCTCTGCTCACCCTTCCCCTTCCACATTGTGCTTGCCCACTCCTCCTTCAGATCTCAGCTTAAATATCACTTCCTCAGGAAACTTTCTCTCACACCAAAGATGAGATCAAGTTTCTTGCTAGATGCTGTCCTAGATCTCTGTAGACCCCACCCCGCCCCACACACACACACATAGAATTTATCACAATATGTAATGATATCTATGTTTAATTACACAATTAATGTCTTATGTGCCACATTAGTCTGTATGCCTTACGAGGGCCGGGTCTGCATCTGTTTGCTATGGTTTTTCTTCCTTGGTTTTTGCCCTTTTTATTCTTTCAATATAAAATGTTCTCTCTACTTCCTCACTGTGCATTCACCTGATTAATTCCTATTTTTCCTCAGTCTCAACATAGACATTTGGTGTCCCTTCCCCCTCCCTTCAAAGGCTAGGTTCGGTGTCCCTCTGGTGTGACCTCACAGCACCCTTACATTCATTTGCTCTATTGCATTTATCATACTACTAGAGGCCTGGTGCATGAAATTTGTGCACCGGTAGGGTTCCTAGGCCTGGCCAGTGATCAGGGTCGATCAGGTTCCCTGCTTCCCGGCCTCCCTGCCTTCTCCTTCCCTCCCTCCCTCAGCACCCTGCCACTGGTCACCTGCCATGTTTCGCGCCGCCCCCCTAGTGGTCAGTGCACATCATAGCGAGCGATCAAACTACCAGTCTCTTGGTCGAACTCCCAAGGGGACAATTTGCATGTTAGCCTTTTATTATATAGGATATTGTAATTGTTTGTTCATGTCTTCCTTTTCCAGGAGACTCTAAGCTCCAGGAAGGCAGGGGCTGTGTCTTGTCTATCATTTATTCCCCCAATGCTTGACACATGCTTCATACACAGTAGGCACTCAATAAATATTTGTTCAACGAATGAATGAATGTTAAGTAATAGTTATGAAAGTGCTTTGAAAAAGTTAAGCATGCCATAAAATGTATTATTTTGGTTATGAGGAATAAGACACAAACATTCGAAAGCCACAAGTCCCTGTACAACCTGAAGCAGAAGAAGACATGCGGTGCTAGTGGGCCACAATGCACAAGTGAAGGATTTCATGCCCCAGACAAGATGTTGGAAATAAGACTGCTGGCTGCCGGCCGCCATCTTGGCTGACAGTTAATTTGCATATCTCCCTGATTAGCCAATTGGAAGGGTAGCGGTCGTACACCAATTACCATGTTTCTCTTTTATTAGTGTAGATATTGTAATTGTTTGTTTATGTCTTCCTTTTCCAGGAGACTCTAAGCTCCAGGAAGGCAGGGGCTGTGTCTTGTCTATCATTTATTCCCCCAATGCTTGACACATGCTTCATACACAGTAGGCACTCAATAAATATTTGTTCAACGAATGAATGAATGTTAAGTAATAGTTATGAAAGTGCTTTGAAAAAGTTAAGCATGCCATAAAATGTATTATTTTGGTTATGAGGAATAAGACACAAACATTCGAAAGCCACAAGTCCCTGTACAACCTGAAGCAGAAGAAGACATGCGGTGCTAGTGGGCCACAATGCACAAATGAAGGATTTCATGCCCCAGACAAGATGTTGGAAATAAGACTGCCCTGGCAGCATCGATGCTCTGGAAAAGACATCATAAAGGCTAGGATGTCCTCCAGGACAAAATAGTATCTAATAAAATAGACCTGGAACTATCTAATACAATCTTCATTGAATGTAAAGAAAAGTAACTATGTTTGTAAGAAATAATAAATTAATAGAGGGATGAGTGCCTGGTGCCTAGAACTTGGAGAGGGAAGTCCAAAGATCCTGTCATTGCCTCTAAGGCTGCAGCACCCACCTGGGCAAGGGTGCCCTGACCAGCTGGCACATCAGCCTCAATGAGACAAGACCTTTGAGTTCCTCAATAACTACCCTCATGCTATGCATCTAAGCAAAATTATGAGTACAATTATGAGTACAAACTATCTAGACTTTTCTCCAGGGAGAGAATACATAGACCAGTGGTTACATTGTAGCCTATTCACCAGTTATAGTTCTCATTATCAATTAATGAGTCTCTTGAGAACTTGGTTAGTGGGAATTGGTCCTTTTGACCTTCTCAACATTGGGTCCACTTACAAATTTAAGGTTGTAGACCTGGGTGCCAACAGCTAGAGCCAACGACCTTCACTGACATTCCTAGGTTGTTTTTCTATGAATTCAACAAATTTAGGAGGCAAAAAAAAAAAAAGAGTTTTTCCCTTCAGCATATGTATTAACTTCTGTGAAGGAAAAGCTATTTATTATTATTTTGTTTTATTTTGCATTTTGAGAGTCAATATTAAGGATTTTTATTTTGGTAGAGGAACATCCAATAGGAAGGCACATTACTAAATTCAACTTTTAAGTTATTGTAATCTTTGAAGTTGTCGTAAAACATAGGAATTATTCAAAATTTATGTAGTAGTTTACGTATTTTTAAAATTTTTATGCAAATCTACTCTGAACTGAGGAGAGTTTTAACTTATTAAATGACCTAAAATTCCTGTTTTACGTTGATGTTCTTCCATTGGCAGAGAAAGCAGACAGCTCTGAAAGAGAAGCTCTCATGTCTGAACTCAAAATGATGACTCAGCTGGGGAACCACGAAAATATTGTGAATCTGCTGGGGGCGTGCACACAGTCAGGTAATCAATTTCCCCTCAAAACTCCTAATCAAACACAGGTTAGCCTGAGGACAAAGAGGAAATTCGTACTCATGTTTCCTCTTTTCTCAGTCACAGGGGGGTCCTCAAACCCAGGTGGAGTGAGACATGAGTAAGCAGATGGGTCAGTAGAGGATGCCTCTCGTTCTTGGGATATGCCCAAGATTCTAACCCACTTAAAAAACACTCACCACACCGCAGGTACATTCTGTGGGTTCTCCCTCTACCTTTTCTCCAGCTGTGAAGTCCTTTTCTCCCGCTGTGAAGGACTGCTGAGCTTGGCCACTGCCCCAGTGGGCTGCTTCAAAGAAGCACAGCCAAGATGGGATTTCAAACTTTATTTTCCTAGAATTCAATGGAACACGCACTCTGGTTCTTTCACTTCTGCCTCGCAATACCCGAACCATGTGTCCCAGGGTCATTTTTTCTGGGACAGCTGGCATGGGACTGGGTCCAAAAAAGAGCAAAAGAGAAAATGGAACTCAGAGAGGATTAGGGATAGTTCCCCTCTTCAGGAAAACCATCGGTCAGCATACTATATTTACCAAGTGCTCATCATGCAGCGGACATATTATTTTCAATTGCAAAATGGAGAATCTAGGTGGACAGTGGTTATTGGTGAGGCTGCATGTACAAGGGCCCAAGTGGAAGGCAAGAAGGCACTATTTTACAAAGGAGTTTGAGTGAAAAGCTGAAATTGATTTTAAAGTATAAGAAGAGATAGGCTCAGAAAAAGTTGTACTCTCCCAAAATCAGGGGAGAAGTGAGCTCTCACAGAGTATAATATGTTCCCTGCTACACAGACATCTGGAAAAATTCCTGAGTGTTTGTCTACCTACAATTAAAACTGTCACTATTTCAGGGCCAGTTTACTTGATTTTTGAATATTGTTGCTATGGTGATCTTCTCAACTATCTAAGAAGTAAAAGAGAAAAATTTCACAGAACATGGACGGAGATTTTCAAGGAACACAATTTCAGTTTTTACCCCACTTTCCAGTCACATCCAAATTCCAGGTAAGAGAATAGGTCAAGGTTTCCTGGTTATGCATTCTAGGACCCATACAAAGTAGGATGGTTAAACACCTCCCCCCCCCCCCCACAAACCAACCACACACACACACACACACACACACACACTCAGCTGGCTTCTACAGGCTACACTCCAGCATTGTGGAGTCTGTGGGTCCTAAAGACCTAGAAAAGTCACTTATCTTTGATAGAGTTTCCCTGTTGATTTGAAACAATGGAGCCTTTCCTTCATTGCAGCCACTGTAGCTGAGCCAGTCTCTGTCCACCTGTTCCTAAATCACACCTGATACACATATTTAGTTTTGGGAACGGTGAGTTATTCAATCCTCCCTGCCCTCTGGTTAACGCGTAAGTATTGGTAAAAGAATGAACACATTTCCAAAGTCCTGGACATGTTCGAAGAGGTCCCGGGAGTATTGCACAAAAGAGCTCTAACCTCATAAATTGGATTTAAAAAAATAGGCTAGATCCATTGACATAATGTGATGGGGACAGAGTAAAGCTGTGGTAACATTTGTCTCAGTGCTCTGCGTTGTGCATTCCTCCGTCCGTGGGAATCCTGACTCTCAGCACTGGCACAGTCCTTGTTTTGGAGTGCATGGACGAGGGCTGCAGAAGTGCGGTGGGATGCTTGCCCTTATCCTTGGAAATGTCTGCTGATTGTTTGAACATCGTAGCTCTATAACACCGTTCTCTGAACGAATTCACAGGCATTGTGATGGAATCATTCCTGGATCCACAGTGCTTTCCTACTTCCCTGCGTATGTGAAAGCTCTCCGTTATCAGAAAGGCACATTTGTCAGAGGCTTTTAACATTACTGGGGGACTTTTGGAGGGTGCTTTTGAGATCAAGCTTTGTTTTCCTAGCAGATGTTTCAGTGCAGGCCTTTGGCTTTGTAAGGTCTGAGACAGACCCAGCGTCAAAAGCTGTAAGGCCCCACGGAGATCCCCATGTACGTCTTTGTGCAGCTGCCCTTTACCGATTTATACCTGTCACACTAGTCCTCCCTTTTGTACTCACTTCTCAGCTCATATTCTAAAACTGAGACAATTCTCATGTCATCCGCATTCTAGAACAGAGTCTGTCCTACTGAGTCAGATGTGTGTGACCAGCAGTCCCTGGTTAGTAACAACCAAGGCTGGTGAACTCAGTGCCTTTGATTCAGTCTGTCACTAGGCTATGAAATGCACTGAAACAGTTACTTTTGGAATATTCGTGGCCTGAACACTTTAAGCCATTTTCAAAGATCTGGAAACTATAAGTTGGGGTAAACTTGTATGCTGGAATAAATTGAATCATTGTCTGTATATAATACATAGAAAGTTCCTCAGTGAAGAGTTCTATATACCATAAAAGAGATCTGCATTATTACTATTTATTAGTTTCACAAGAAAAGGAAACAAGCTTTGCAAAGGTCACCTGGAAAAAAGGAGGATGGTAGAAAATGTAACGTTCCCTGAAGAAGATCTGTGTTACTTGAGCTGTCACAGGGACAGGGAGCCAAGTTTAGAAACAGAAGACTGAGGTGCAGGTGCACTCTTTACTAGCTCCATGATTTCAGCAAATCATCTTCATCTCACCAAGGTTAAGTTTTTTTGGTTAATCCTCACCTGAGGATACTTTTCCAATGCTTTTCAGAGAGAGTGGGAGGGAGGGAGGAAGGAAGAGAGGGAGAGGAGTTGAAAGGAGAAGTTGGGGGTGGGGGAGGTGAGAGAGACACATCGACTGGTTGCCTCCTGCACACAACCCGACTGGGAATCAAACCCACGACCCTTCAGTACGTGGACCAATGCTCTACACATTGAGCAACACCAGCAAGGGAAAACCTAAGTTTTCTTTTATAAAATGTGACTTTGACGCCAGCTTGTAGACTTGTGGTAAGGATTGAGTGAAGTCATCTTTGAACTGTGACTCCATACAGATACCAAACCCACTCTTCCCCCAGTTAGACCGGCTCAATTACACAGATGTTTTTAATTCCATAAAAAGTGGACAAGTTGATGCTGTGCTTTTAATTTAAAAGCCCATTTATAATTGGAATTAATTTTTTTGATGAATTGTATTTTTTTAAAAATGTCTACTCGGAAGAACATAAATAATAAAATAACAATTTTTTTAAATAGTATGCCTGGTTCACAAGAAGTTCACATACACCAGGACACAGACCATATCTCAGGGTTCAATGGGAATTCCTTTCAACCCAAAGGTAATATTTTATTCTGATTAGTAGCACTTAAAAATAGAAATGGATAAATGAGTTCTGTTATCTTTTTAAAAAAAATGTGTAGATGCAAAAGCATATTTTACATTGCTAATGTTATCTATAGGCTCTATGAATGTATATTTGCTTTAAAAGTAGTTAAAAAACAGTTTATGTATTGTGAATTTTATGTCAATATTTAACTAATAAA